GTGTTCGAGCTGCTTGACTAAAAATTCATACGCATGTATTGTATATTTGGTTGCTTAAAGAATTTAAACCTTTAATGGAGAGATTCAAAAATCTTTTAAATCAATCCTCAATTATTTGTAAGACATTGGGTATAATAATAAAATGAACCTAATGCGCATTAGCAATTAAATTGCACAAAATAATTTGTGATCCATTTGTGGGGAAGACCAATAATACTTTTTTTGAATGCATGCGAATGATCAATTAAATTTATTAAACTGAATAGACCGTGTGAAACGTTTTCACGTGATCGGAATAAATATCGTATAAATATATGTATAACTGTGATTGTGGGTCTAATGTTCCGAGTCAAAATCATCTCTAAACAGTACGACCTTTCGATAACATTTCATGAAATACCACAATCTCTGTTGTTTGTCGGGTTCTATGTTGGGATTTTTTGTTGATACATGTACGATTGGAGGTTTTGGCGTAGGTGGAGCGGTCGTCGCGAGTTGAAGGTGTTCCTTCTCGGCTAGTTAATGAAGGGGCCAGTTGGTTAAATGAATGCTTTCGTAATTGTGATGGCAAAAAAGTAAATTTACGAATGATCACACACCTATACGCTCATAAACGACCTCCCATCCTTCAAACAAATTCTCGTCTCTCTCATTTACCTTTTCCCCTTGCTCGAAATCCCTTTTCCGCATCCTAGCATTCCTAGTCTCCTCTCGGTAATTACCACCATTCTTCAATATATCAATAACCCCTTCCCACAACCACTTTTCGGATAAGAATGGATTCCCGCTAGGTCCGCCCACGAATCCGGTGGTCATTTGCCAAAATCTCGAATCCAATCGATACATGTTTGTCATCGATAGTATCATCCAAATATACTTCAACTTCTCCAAAGTTTTTGTCACCTTACTCGCGATAGTCGCGGTCAAGGCGATTACCTCATCATCGCATTCTTTATCGGTGGATATTATTATGTCGGAGGCGGCATATGAGGATGAAAATAGAAATTGATCAATTGGATGTAATATCGGCTCTTTGTTCTCGTATGGGATATAACGCGGTGGAAATGGGAGCAAGTGCAGTTTGTTTGATATTACTGGTGAAAGATGCCTTATCGAGTTGTTTGAGGGGATGGTGAGTAGGTATAAATGGGTGTATCCGAATAATGCCACAATTTTGCCTTCGCTATCCATCGCTAATAAATCTCGAATCGCTATCGCTACATTCTCATGCGAGTTGGTCTGGTGATGAACCGAGGCGTTAATAAGGCGTCGTTGAATGGGTACGTGATGATACACCACCTACCTCTCCATCAATTCTCAAGTCATAGCAAACATCACCCTGCATCACGGAAGCGACGAAATCGTGATCGACACCTTTCGGTGGCCAAAGACTTTGCAAAATCTTGTCAAACTCTACTTTCGATTTCAGACCACCAGACTCTTCATCCCTCAATACCTTGCGCCAATACCGCCTCCGCAACATCGCCGTGATTGTTTCATATTTGCTTAATTTAAGTTTGTAGTCTCTGTGTATTGTGTTGATGCCATTATTGTAGTCCACTCTCCTCGAGAGATTAAAAAGAAAATGTATCAATAACGGTAAATTATTGCAATCCCACGCTTTCTCGAAATAACCCAAAATCAATGCTCGGTAAGGGATTTGATTGATCAAAAAGTTCGTGAAAAATGTGTAATTATGTAGAGTCAATATTATGTGTTTGGAATTGTGAAAGAACGGTGAAAATGGCTCGTTCGGGTTAGATTGAAGTTTCACGGGCGGCTTGTTAAAGTCGGGAAGGTTTATGGTAATATAAATGAGCTCGTTGACTTGCGAAACGAGATAAAAAAGGTATTTTATGATAATTTCTTGAGCATACCTAAATTTTTTAAAAAAAAAAATTTTTTTTTTAACGAGAATTCCGGCAAATGGCAAAAAAAAAGAGGATCGTCTTTGTGATGAAAAAATTTTTTCGAACCCACAAATCAAATGAGTTCGGTTCCAATTTCACAATGGTTCCCTCGATTGGGACAGGCTTATGGTAAATCCCCAAGTTCTTGTAATAATGTAATTTGTATGCTTCTTTGAGTATGCGAGGCATCGTCAAGAAAATCTCCGTGGGATAGGTGAGCAAAGCGTACAGGACGCTAAGGCGATTAAGAATATAGGAATGTCCTCTAGCCGTTGCCACAAATTTTTTCTTGCCCGGAACGATCCCTCCTCTGGAAGAATCCGTGTGCATAACAAATCTCAAGTTGAGGTATCCCGACGCGGGGTCCTTGCAATATATTCTGTATGTGCCTTTGCGATCGTTAAATGGTGACACGTGAAACGCTCTCTTTACCGTAAAGCTCATGTCGTATCTATCGAAAGAACGACAAGTTAGACAAGACAACACCAATGATTTCATTATCTAGCATATACTGTATGTGCATACCCAATCCTGTTTGCGTCATCGGCGTCGTTATCGCGGTTCAAGATGTGCAAATGTTTTTCGCCAAAGGTGTTATTGATCTCTATCGCTATGACACTCAGAGAGTTGTGTAGATCATAGCAAAAGTAAAAGTTGACCGGATTAAATGCATAGTTCAAAAGTTTTGGGGTGGTCACTAACTCTATGCGAAGGAATTCTTCCGTGGGAATATTCTTTGAATTACAAGATTAAGGATGTCTAAGTCAAGGAAGGAGGGAGTGCAACTGCCAGAAAATAATCGATTGCTTACGTGTCTTGACATGTGCCAGAGAAGTTTCTCTCTTATTGATCTTAATTCTCTCTTTTTAAATGGTGTAGAAGTGTTTCTAGGATTGATGTTCCCGAGATAGTCATCCTCATTGATATTGAAAATAGATCTTCTATTGTTATAACCCAACCTAAGAAAGACCGAGAAATTATTTAAGGAAAGGCCTTCTCATCTTCTCTGATTAAGAATTGTGAACCTACAAGAATCCGCCAGAGTCCTTCTCCTTTTCCAACAAATCCAGATCAATTCCAAGATATAATATGGGATACTCGAAACTATGTTTCACCGGAAAAAATCTAGAATGAAAAGTCTTGCAGAAATAGATCTTTTGATTCCTCTCCGATGATGATGATGATTTTATCAGTGAACTTTTCAATGCGACTGATGTGAGGTTGAATAAATATCCGATGGAAAATACGATGATCATTATTTCAAAGGGATTTATTGACGGAAAAGGGATTCTTAACAAGTGGAATAAACCTATTAAGAGAACAAGATAAGAAAATATTTTCTTGGGGATCTTCATTATGATATTAATGCAAACAAAAGGTGTTTGACGCGTACTCAAGTTCAATCACCAGACTATTTATAATTTTAACTTTGAGAGAGTAAAGGTATTCCCAAAAAGGATTGATGATTAATGCTAGTGCGTATATAGGAAATCATTAATTGCACTGTGCTACGGTACTGTATTTCGGGAACTGCGTTTTGATTACCATTTCAACCCTCCTAGAAAGACAATTCAAAAAGAGTTTCTTTAGAATTCGCGTGTTCATATAACCTCATTGTTACAATATGATGTTTGATTAAGGCTCACAAGAGAATCAGCTTAACATTCCCCCAAGTTCTTGGAATTGTAAAATCGTACTTTGAGCACTACCTTATTTGCTATTATTTATTATAAATTTTGATTCAATGCGTGTGAGACATTCTGCGACAATGATTGATTCACCGACATATTTACATATTTACGTAATTTCCGATGTTATAAGCAAATCTTTGGTTCAATAAGGACCATCCGATTTGCCTACAGCACTACAGCATCCAAAGTATACACAGTACAAAATCTTCGCTCATCTAGAACTTCAGCACCTGCCTGTGGCCAATTGTCATGAAGTTCCTTAATACACGCTA